TTTAAGCTCTTGCAGAATGTTGTCTCATGTAGCCTTCCCAACTTTTGATGATTCAAGTTGTCTTTGTATTTTATTCTTTCCAAGCCATTGGAATTGGCTGCTTTTAACTCAGTGTTACAGCCCTGATCTGCAGACTATCTCTTGCCAGAACTCCCGCAGGTTTCCCTCCCATGTACAGAAATGAAAGTTCTGACACTGATCTGGGGAAAACTTTTCAGATCAAAGTAGTAAGTAATTTGCCACAAGTTATTAGACCTGTTACACTGGTGCTTCTCCAGACTTCTTCTATCCATTATGAGAATAAAGATGTTTCTCCCAAACTCTTTCCAATTGTTCAGTCACAGTGCAGAACAAAAGATGATTTCTCTTGGCATCTCTCTGTGTAATTTTCATTTGATACAAATGGTATGATACTCACTGTAAAACCTGCACAACTTTATGCTTTAAAGTGATATACTTTATTTTTCCAATAGAAACTTACAGAATATGTAGCAGAGCAGTGAAAACTGAATTTTTTTTCAGTTGTATTTCCTTCTTTGTGTGACTTCCAGCTGCTGGTACCTTGCTAGAACATGAGAGTCTGCACTGCTTTACCTAAAAGAATACAAGAAATAAGGTGCTACCAGCTTATTCTGACACACTCCTCTTCTACCATAAGATGGCAGACATAGTACATAAATTTTGAATAATATACTGAAAATTACAATTATTAAGCCAATATGTATATGATGTTCCCTACTGTCCTTACTGGCATGAACCAGAAAAAAAGTGGTCTCACTGTACCATTATCCACTACTGAATTCATGGCAGGCTATTAGTTCATCACTGCAGCTCTTTCAAAACAACATGACTTGGCAAGAAAAATAAAATAAAAATTTGATCAGGCATAAAATTACTGTATTTTTGGTTAAAGTGCATAACAGTAGCACAATATAGGTAAGATACAGCTTTTGCTTTTATTCAGCTGCTTTGTATGCTGTAGGTATAAATGAGACTTAAACCAAGCATCAAAACTGAACCTTTCAGACGTTAATGTGATGATAGCTGTGTTATTATGAGTCTAATGATATCTACTGCACACAAGAATACATAGGTGTCATGCTGGGAAACCAATGATCTAGCTCTCATTCTGACTGCAGGCAAAGAATATCTCATCAAAGCTATAAATTTCATGACTCTGTTCCCAAATTTAAAACCCTTAAGGAAATGGCTTTCATGGTTCAACAGTTTTAAAGGGTTGCTCTTACTTGGCTTCTAACAAGGAAATTAATAGTTCTTCCAAACAAATCAGAATTATGCCATAGCTGCATGCATTTTCATGCTGTTGCCTTCAGCACTGCACTTCCTTCCCCAGATAACATCACTGCAGAATCCACACTGAATTCACGGTGGGGAAACATTTATTACCTGCTATGATTTCGCACTATAGCCCTAGATAGGTGACAGAAGTTGTTTGCTTATTGTAAAATTTGTTTTCATTATGTCACGTGAAATAGAGTCAGTTTCTAATCAATCTTCACTTTTCAGAGTAAAACCAGTGTAAAACCTATCCAGCCTAATGTCAGGGAGAGTTAGTTTCTGCAGTGTGATGCAGAGCAACCAACCAAGAGGTAGCCTGCTTATGGGACTCCAACAAGAAGAAGCACTGAAGTGAGATACTTCTCTGTCAGCATGGTTTTCTCCCTTCAAAAATTCCTACTGTGCAAATATTGAAGCTCCTGAGAGGGAATAATCACGTTAAATAGTTTTCTTAATTTACATGTATAGAAATGGTTTCTAATGAGCAGAAAATGAATATTGTATTAGGATTAGCCACTGTATGTGATACTTTGTGCACATAAAGCACTACAATTTGTGCTGTTCAGGAGAGAGATCCTAAATGAGCACCAAATGTTCAGTGTACCAATACATTTCAATGTATCATTAAGAAAAAACCAAAATACTTTGGATTCTCATTAAGTCATAAGAAGTTACACATACAATGGGATTAAAATACCAAGATATATTTGTTTTTGTCCAGAACTGTTATGACTGCACAACATTTTAGATCCAAGTATTTCAATACCAGTGAAGCAACAAACAGGAAAGTTTTTGAAACAGCATCTGTTTCAAAAGCAGCTTTGATTTTTTAGCTCATGCCAATCATTTGGAGCCCTATGTTTAATGTAGCAATACAGCATTCAGAGTAAGAATCCTTACATGACAACAACAATTAGGTAATGTACTAAAGAGATTCAAACTATTGCACATATATCTACAATACAACATAAGCCACACTCATAAATCAGAAATATTACTCTAAGTGATTGACAAGAATTTCCACACCTCAAATTTTTGATACCCCCCATGAAGGAGTGGAAAGCTTAGACATTCTTTTTTAAGAACAAAAATTACGGTAATAGAGAAATTTCCTCTTCTTTGAGGATGAAGTGATTGTCTGTAATAGAAAACAGTTTTGGAGTCAAAAAAATTCTCTATAGCTCACTGCTCCACAGGAAGGAAAAGAGCAAACATGGAGGACTGAACAAAAACCCAAGAGCAATCCAAATCCATCATTAACTGCACAAAAGCAGTGAATTTGTTTTAATATGAGGAAAATGACAGTTTATCCTCAAGCACAGAAAACATAATTATCCCCTAAGCCACCCTAAAATAGCTATCACTAATGCAATCCAGAAAACTGCAATTCCCAACTGGGGAGCATCATCACTGTCATGCATGAGAGGGATGCAGTGGGAAATAAGCACTCTCCATCTAGACTTTCAGAACAGCATGTAACTCTTAGTATTAAATAATAGAATAGAGGGGAAAAGAAATAAAAAGGACATTATAACTGGCTGCTTGGGCACATGTACAGAGGGGTGTCTGTGTGTATTTACATACAAAGAATATACTGCTCCACAAAAGTGACTGCAATCAGCTGAATTAAAGCTGTCTAAAGTTTTGCTCTTCCCATTTCTAAGCTGGGCTTTGAGCTTATTCAGATAAACTTTGAACTTCATTCTGCAGGACCTAGGATGTTTTCAGTATCCAAACTGGCTTCTGTTTGACTGCAGCACGGACACACCTTTAATAAAAGTCACAATACGTTGCATCACGTTTACATCTTAGTTCTGCTGAAGAGTAACACTCAGAAGCACCATGTCAGAGTCATTTAGCAGTGCTGCAGCCATCTGCTTTACCCAGTGTGTTGTATCAAAAAATAGTCTGGACACTGAGGAAAAAAAATATATGATGAAAACGTAATTCACACAGGTACTTTGAAAACTCAAGCATACATGAAAAAATCAATTCAGCTTCAAATTTTAACTAGAACAGAATCAAACTAAATGAACCAACCTATTTGGTATAGCCTTTATCTGATCCATTTGATCTCTATCACTTAAACACTTCCCCCCTCTGTTAAGCAAACATGTCTACAAACAAGTTATTAAAATCAGTTTCCTACACTTTTCTGGCAGGGATGAAGGTAGGACTGCTATTCAATTCAGCCACATTTGTCTCAATCTCCACCCCAGCTGATCATGGTAACAGTACTGGCTTAGTGTTTTTCAGTGAAAAAGTCTAAATTCCTATGTTTTAATTTTGAAGTAAATAACTTAATCAAGAGGCTTGTTAACAACTGTAGACTTCTAGTGACGTACTTTGGAGTTAGCTAAAAGTATGGTTTATGTAGTAATACTTTCACATTAAATTTCTTAGAAAATATATGGAAATACTCTTTTAAAGCTCATCAGAGTTATGCATCAAATGGAAGCAAATGGCATATTTCAATGTCTGAACTGATTTTCTCACTCAGGTGTTTGAGAGCCAAGTAATGCATTTTCATGCAAAACCTGAACAGCAAATAACATCCCTTCTCACACACCTGTACAGTCCTGAGCTCACAGCAAAAGGACAAACATGCTGCCAGGTACTGAAAGGAAGATTATAGAAAGATACAAATACTTTGCCCAACTGAGGCCCTACCTGTTAATTTCAGGCAGGCTAAACCCAAACATCAAGTGCATCAAGTGCAGGCTGAAAGGCCAAGGCATGTCCAGGCCAAATCATCTCAGTCAGGAACTCCCCATATCATTACACTTCCTTTGTGTAACCTCCATGTAAAACTTCACTCTCTTACCTTTTTTACTTTAACATCACTAGTTCTGTCCTTCAAAGTTCAGAAGCCTTTCAGCCACTGGACACCCTGCCCTTCTTCAGATCCTGATGAGAACTAAGCTCTGAGAAGTATGGTTTTCTGGGTTAGCCAGAAAAAATGAAAAGCATTCCCTTTGTTTTCACCTCCCCTGTGATCCTTCACGATGCTGCACAGAGAACAGTCCCTAAGGTCCTGCATGGTAAAATCTGCTTCTGCTTTTCCTAAATGTGTCTCTTCCACTGCAGTGAAGAGAAAATCATATTCCCTCTCCTCTCTGAGATGGCTACAGTGCTTGATTTGCACCAAATGGACCAATGCTGAATTTATCTTATTTGTTAATTTACATGATAGCTGTATTCGTTAAAATGAGATCTAGTGTTATTAAACTCCTGTAGAGTAATTGTGATTGAAATTTGTTCATGAGCTACACACATTTGAACCTCAAAAACCAGAAAAGAATTCATGAAAGTTATTAAGCACAGACACATTGTTTTTAAAATATCTGAAAATACAATTTACACAGAGAGGATAAAATCTGGGATGGATACTATTTACAATCCAATTTAACACTCAATGCAAAATATAACAGTAAAAGTACAGAAGAGTGGGAAAAGAAGTGAATTTTTTCAGCTGGAGATTATTTATTTCTCTAGAACAAGATAAACTTCATTGAAGGGACTTCAGTGAGTGTTGTTTTAAACCCAAAAGAGAATCAGTGAGATTTTTTGTTTTTTCATTGCAATCTGTGAAACTATCAGGCTATAAATCTACCTCTGAGTTTCTTGTATTTTCCCATGTAGTGACCTGAACAGGCTAAAAAGCAAAGGTAAATTGGAAAACAAAATTAGGACTATAGGAAGAAAAGTTTAGATATTTATTACTCACTTAAAGGTCTAAAGACACAGAAAGAAGTTCTTTTATTTTGTTAGAATGGAAAGATTGGCATGAGGGAATTAAACCTGGGGAAGATGGCCTAATCAAGACAAAAGGTTGACAATCATTAAAAGACAATGATCACATGAAGATGGAAAAGGTTTACAGAAAGAGAAGTATAATGCAGCAAGAAACCGATTAAAAATCACAATACAAATGTAAAACTAATTATTTCTGAAAATGTACCATATATATCAAAAAATTCTTGCCTCTATCTGCTCCTCAGAAACATTTATTTTAATCACTGATCAGAAGAAATTTCAGAACTCCTTTAGCAGAACATATTTATCTAACTTTTAAGAATCAAAGCTCTTGCTCAGAAATACCAAAATATGTCTGAGTTATAACTATCCTTTAAGGATAACACTGCTTTGCAGAGTAAAACATAAAATTGCCCTATTTGCTTAGTAAATGCTACAAGTGATGAATAACCCATCAGCTTTCCACAATGTGTTCAAAAAGCTTTCAGAATTTTATTGGTAAGTATTCAGTTCTGATAATTCAGCTTTTAATGCAATCAAGAATATCACCAGGAGCTACTTAATTAATTCCCCAGTGCACCATGAATTTAATTTTCAATGACTTTATTGAGAACTTTTTTTGTTAATTTTACAATGAGAAACTATAACCACTGTTACACAACTTGCAAATATTTCAAACAAGACAGCAATCTCCTATTTTTTTGATTTTTTCTGTTCCAAATTCAGCTCCTGAGATGGATTTTCTGCTTCAGCTTCATTTTCATCTTCCTGTAAAAGAAAATGAACACCTGAACATTAATCAATTTATTGAAAAGTATTTTTCTGCTTATGCAGATGTATGGAATTCTGTACAGTCTTCTGCTGTCTTTGCCTGGCTAGTAAGCATAAAAATAAGCAAAAAGTAATTTATTCAAGTGATTGATTTTGCTCAAGAGTTTAAATAAAAATGATAAGAAATTTAAACAAGACTAATTGGATACATTTATAGCAGAACAATAATTTAAAGAGGAAATATTTTACTGACCATTTTACTGGATAGTTACATAAAGAAATTATTAAATCACACACGGATGACAACATATTCAAATGCCTAGAGCAGACAATATTACACACTTTTCCTTTGTTCTTGACCAGAGGTTCTCCCTAAATTACTTTTGAATACAAGAACTTTCATCACTGTACTAAAAATTACTTTTGAAAAGCATCTGCCATTGAAAAATGTTTCATTTTTTTGTGACCAGATATGTTTACTTCACCATTTGATAAAAGACAATAAATTTAACTTCAGAGACACTTTATGTGCTGCAGCATCATATTTTTGTCCCATCTAGCATATTTTCTTGACAGGTCTGCCAATTTTCCAATTACTTGTACCACCATATGTTATCTGAAGATCAGTCAGGTCTAAAATAGGAAACATGAGCATGTCAGGCAGCAGCATGCTTACAATATTCTACAGCTTCAGCTCCAAGAGTAAGGCTCATAATTCACTTTGGGCTCCTCTGGATCTCACTGAAAAAATGAAGTGACATCATAATGCCTGTTTCCATCGGAGTGGATACTATTTTGTGTCCAGTACAAAATTTTGACCTCCAAAGTATAAATTATGGAAGAGTAAGAAAACTGTTTTATAAGGCAACTTTCAATTCATCACATCATGAACAGTCCTTATCACAATTTCAAAGTATGACCAGTTTTCTAGTCTGCATTTTAATTCAATTTACAGAGACTCTTCCACATTCCAATAACACAAAAAAGACATGAACAGACATTTTGGAATGGAGAAGCATCCTGGCTGCTGTAACATTACTCATCACAAGCTAACAGTTAAGAGAAAGGAAACACCAGGGGCATTTAGGTGGGACCCAGTAACCTGAGGTGTATTTTCCTGATTTGAAAGAACATTTTCATTCTTGTGGGAAAATAACTTTATCCTTTTGCATCCTAGCCCTTTCACCATCAAAGCATGCTCTGTAAGGATAACTGTAGTATTTAGAGGTAGAAAATATATAGGAAGATTACAAGGGCAGCACAAAATAGGACAGCAGTAGAAAATCTCATTTAAAAATGTGATTTTGTAATATGTTATGCCCAACTGCAATAAAATGGAAAAGCAAATTGTTCTATTAAAGTAACAGATACCCCAAGCCATCACACCTCTGAATCCTCCCCCTTCTGGGGACAGCCTAGACATTGAGAAATATTTACATAACTGACCACTAAAAGCTTTTACTCTTCTCTTCTCTCTCTGGACCGTCATCTCTTCAGTTACCTTTTAAATATGCAGTGCTCCCTGTGGCTCCTTTCATTTAGGTGAGAAAACATGTCTGTGCATGTGTGTGAAACCAAACACTGAAGAGTCATTGAAATTAGAAGGGTAGAATGTATTAAAGAGTGTGCAATGTATAGTATGCATACAGAGATCAAACTTTATATGAAAACACACAGGGCAGAATAGCAAACAACAAAGGAGTAAGGTGCTACCAAGCCTACTGCTTACAGGTGACAAAAGAATACTGTGGAATAAAAAAAACACTCACAGAAACTTTTGGCTACTATGGAAAAACAGCCAGGTTATTTAATGAAGAACATGTTAATAAAAGAGCAGCAAATCTGTGTGTTTCTGCAATGTCTGCAAGGTCCCTACCCACGGCAGTTGTATCCCACCTGACCTCAGCGCCAACTAATCCACCTCCCTAGCGCAAAACTTGACATTATTCTGATGTCCTGACTTGTGCTCTCATTCAGGAATATAAACCCTACACTATCATTCTTTCCCAGAACTCTTCACATATTGCTTAGGGCTTCCTCTCCTAATAGATGAAGCATGCAGAAATTTTGGAGACAACAGAGCCAGACCTTCACCTGAGGACTACAAGAGGGTTAAAGCACATTAGGCTCAATACTGAATATTGGCTTCCTGAGCTTTTTGATGCCAAAAGTTTTTATCCAATAATGAGAGTTTTTTAAAGAGAATCTTCTGGCTTTGTGTAAATTTGCAGTATTTAATTCTGTGCTCAAAAGGTCATGCTTGCACTCTGGCAGAATTCCCAAGTTACAGCAGCAGCTGCAGTGATCAGTGTATTCTGAGCTGCAGAAACAATGGCTGATGGTAATGGCAGCTCCAGGATTTGCCTGGGTTGAATACTCCAGATGGAAGCATCAACTTTGGGATATTTTTCAAAACTAATACTTTTCCTTTGTTTATTTCCTGTTGGTTCAACTAAGTAAAACATAGTCAAACAGGTAGAATCTACCACCAGAGCATAAACCTGACTTATGTGGGCAGATTCCATTGCACAAGTCATCCAGATGCCTGGCTGATTTTTTTTAATTATTGTTATTAATGTGTTTTTATGCACAAAATCTTTCTGACTAGCATTGCATTGAACCATGCTCCACATAAAACATCTTAATTTTGTACAAGGGATTTCTCTCCATCTTGTTTTCCAAGAACAGAAACACACCTCATTTAGAAACAGAAACAGAAGTTTGGTATCTCTGAACACAGGTGTTTGCTGTGCAAAGCTCAGAGTAACGATGTTTGATCTTTCTCATAACATGAATTATCAAGGGGAGAAAACTCTTCTTTGTTAGACATGCCTTGAGCCAGATCAGCTCCCAGGCCTGAGCACTGCTCCATGAACAACAGTGCCAGCACAAACAAGATGGCAGAAAGGATTTTTGGGGTACAGTGGAAAGTATGAACCACCAGTTTTGGCAGTCATGCGGCTTTCTGCCAGAAAAGAAGTGACAGTGTCAGAATAATTTGGGACATAAACCTCTACAAATTATAAGGAGTCTTCTATTACTGCCATTATGCTTGGGGGAGATCTGAACTGGCAATTTAGAGAACTGGTAATTTACAAGATGTGAAGACTCACTATTATTTCAGCTTTGCTGACAATGCAAGATTTCTATGAAATGCTTTATCTTTTTTTTAGTAGCCCAAGAGACAGCCTGATGATTGCACACAGAATACTGAAATGGCTGGAGTTTCTAATGTCATTAATAATGTTTGAATTTTCATCTACACAGCCTATATAGCCTAATTATCAATAAATTATGCAAAACAGAGAGCAGATTAAATATATTTAGTTGTTTTAGTAATTACTACCCATCATTATCATTATAATGCTTTTGACTCTGATGAATAGCAAAGGAAAACCTTTTATTTTCATTTTATCTGTTAAAAACCAGTCCATGATGGCAGTTTGTAAAGTTTTTGCTACCAGCAGCTACACAGCAGACAAAATCCTGAATTCTGGTTTCTGCCCAGAGAAATTCAGTTCATGTTTTTTTATTAATACCTCACATCTCCTTTTTATATTATTATTTCTTTTTCTTCCAGCCACCTATGACTCTAATATCTAGTGCTTTCTGTTCTGAAAATCCTAAAATCAAAGTAGCTTTTCCTAGCAGATGTCACACGATGAACTTTTAAAGTAGTTCTTGCCATTGGATGCCAAAAATCAAACTTGTCACAGTATTTTTTGTGACTACAGACAACCATAGACTCAAATATCATATAGTGAATACACTCACCAAAAAGATGCCTTTGCACAGATCTGGTAACTTGGAATAGCCAAGGGAGGTGAATCCCTGAAGACTGTACTACTCCTACTGAAAAAGTGCACTTAACAGCCCTAAGATTATTTTAATATTGAAATAAATGAATTTATGCTATTACAGATTTACAAAACCAACAGGGATAAGAAAAAGTACAAAGAGCATTACAAAGTGCTGCTAAACCCAACACTGAACTGAAATGCCAGCTCAGGAGCTCCTTAAGCCACCAATGACTGGACACCTCATCTGCATCCTGATGACACTGATGGAGAGATGGAACTTCTACATTAGTTTTCCTACAGCCTTTGCACTGGCATCCCACCCTTTCTCTGATGGAAACAAGGTATTGGATTAAAAGGTCCTTTGGGTGCTCTACAGATGTTTCCAAATGTCCTATGGACACCTCTTCTTTCACAGTGCTTGGACTATGCTTGGTAGCTGAGCATTTAGAAGTCAGCAACAGAATGGGGCCAGGAATTTAGAAATGAGACCCTAAAATCTGCCACATAATTAAGCATTTGATTTATTAAAGTATTAAGCACTCAACAGCTTTGCTGAAGTTAATGAGAATACTTCGATATTTAGGTAGCCTTAGGTGACAAAAACTAAAGGTAAGAGTCTGACTTTTAAATTCTATTTCTAAAGTTTGAAATTTCTATTTCTATTTCTAAAGTTGAGAAGGACTGTGATACAATTTTATCTCCTTTGAAAGCATATTTAAGGTCAACCACATTATTCTCTGACCAAAGAATAACGGGTCAAACACAGAAAGTTAATTTTGTGGTAAATATTCCAGAATATTCCCTGGATATTTGAATAGACAAATTTTAGAATGAGAAAATTAAAAATTAAACAAAACAAAACAAAACAAAAAGCCCAGAAATAGGGGGTTGAGTATCCCTTTCTCTTTTTACTCCCTCCAACAAAATTCCTTCAATGTGTCTGAGAATTTTCTCCATTAGTTAATGAAGTGAAATCTGGAAAATGACAGTGAATTAGACAATTCTTAACTCTACAGGAAATCTGACACTCTTCTACAAATAGAACAGATCACACATTAATTAACTAACTGTACTAGGACATGCATCAATTCCCATTCTGTTCATTGCACCACAGCTATAATATCTAGAGTTGCATTACAATGTTGCATATTTTGCCAACTTCAACAAATACTCTAAACTTAATAAACAGCTATATAT